TGGAATCAAATGAAATAAAGAAATTTTTTGAAATTTTTTTATAACTCAAAAATAATATCGAAAGTAGACTTTTCTTACGAGTAACACAAAATACAAGATCACGAGGTTTATTTATACATAAAATCGATTATTTAAAAACTATTTTAATTTTCCTTAAATTCTGTTGTGTCAAGTAAGTCATCTGCACCTTTATCTATAGAAACAATATACAATAACCAATTATGATTTATCCTTATTTGTGAAGTATTGCTACAACAACACTACAGTTTCACATTAACAAAGATGATAAAACTTCATTCCTTTTTTTAAAATAACTGGTTAAAAACATTACAAACATGAAATCTACGTACAGATAAACATGTTAGCATGAAACACTAATTAAAAACAAATAAAACCTGTTAAAATGCAAACTTCTAATTGGGTACGATTTTATTGAAAATTAACATTTAATATACAAAATAAGCTTTATCAAGCTTATGAGCTTATTTTCAGAAATATGTTACATTAACTACAAGATTTATAAAGCTTTAGAGATGCTAGTAATATTCTGAGATCGTCATATTTTATCTTCAATATTAAAGTTTATTTAAATTAAAATTCTAGAAAAATTTACCATAATTGTTTTTTCTTTACTAATTAATTTAGACACAAATTATCATATAAGTAAGCCACAACTTAAATAAAAAGCATTAATAAATATGCAAAATAATAAAAAACATAAGATCACACAATCTTAATAAATGATCACACAACTGAAANTAGACACAAATTATCATTTACTAATTAATTTAGACACAAATTAAGCCACAACTTAAATAAAAAGCATTAATAAATATGCAAAATAATAAAAAACATAAGATCACACAATCTTAATAAATGATCACACAACTGATATAAAATAACTTTTACTTTAAAAAAAAAATTTCTTGACAGTAAATGTTATTAAAAATTAAGCGTACCTTAGAAATAAAAATTTATCTCCAAAAATACCTCATAGTTGTTTAAATACATTGAATGTATTTTGAACACAAAATAATTAACCTTAATAAATGTTTAATAGGTGAATAGTTTAATTAATGCACTAACACCAAAAATAAATAAATAAATAAAAATAATATATACTTTGTCAATCAAAAAATAAAGACCTGAACTTTTTATGTAACTGTCAAAAATAATTGTCATAAAAAATTTGTTACAAATTAAGCATGTGATAAAGATGTTTGCAAAAGAACAAAACACATAACAAATTTTTAGCAACTGTTATCAAATTCCTACAGACTTTGACAATCTTTATCAATATCTTTAAAAATTAAGTACACAATTTTTCGCCACACATTCCTTGTAAATGTTTAAACAAAAAGACTTACGACTGTATCAATAAAATAGTACTTTTTCATTATTTTTAACGTAATATTAAGAAGAAACATAAGAAGAAATGTTGCATTTTATTATTACTAATTGCAAAACTTTAAAAATCAGGTATGTTATAAACACTGATTATCATGCTAGCTTTAATAGAATTATTTTTAAAACAATGTATACTTTTTTTAAACTATTCAACTCTTAAATTTCACTAATAAATTAGAATAAGATAAGGAACAGTTATTATTTTAATAAAACTTAACAATCAGGAAATAACAACAAAAAATATTTTCACATATTTTTGGCAAAAATGAACTAACATTTGAAATATAATGGGAAGACACTTCAAAATGCAATGATACATAATATTACAGTAGAGCCCTAATTATAAAATACCCAGGGGACCAGGGATGTGTCAGAAAATTGAAATCATCGAGGGACCTTCCTATGTCAATTTTATGAGTATGAGTAAAATTACTCAAAGCAATTTGCAAGGATAATACAGTTTAATAGAAGCCTTTCTCAGGCATAAGAGTAAGAAAAAATCCAGTAGATTTTAATTGTAGGAAAAATTCCAGTAGATTAGAAATAATATAAATTTCATGACAATTGTTGCTTTATGTACTAACTATTTTACACATAGAGAATTTTAAAGTCATCAAAATAGAAAAACTGCAATATTTTCCAAATATGATATCACATTAAATGATCTTGAAATGCTATGTATTACTTTTACACATAATTTTGAATAGTAATAGGCATTTAATTCATCAAAGATAGTTAAAAGTCTTTTAGTTGAAACAGGGAGTTATGAATAAATAAAAAAAATGGAACATTTTAGAACAAAAAAAGTTTTAAATTGATTTTTATAAATGATGCTTGCTGCATAATACATCAGTAATACGTATTTAAATATTCAAGTAAAAAGTAATCAGTGCAAAAATGCTATTTCAATAGGGATTTCTTTTAGGAAACTTACTCAATTTTAGGGAATTTTCTAAAAATGTACAAAAACCAGGAGAATTTTTATTAAACCAGTAGACCAGGAGAAACTGGCCAAAATCCAGTAGTCTACTTGAAAATCCAGGAGAATTGGTAGATATGGATTAAGGAGAATAAAATCATATTAGAGTAAAATAACAAAATAATGTAGAAATATTATTAAAAAATTCAATATTTAACATAGCATTTTCTCTCTTCTAAAGTTTAGAAGCTCTGATGCTTTATTTTTCTGACATAAATAAAATAATCCTATGACACAATATCATGAAAAAGAAGTCATTCCCAATTTTTTTTTATTTTAAATAATTTCCTAGCAGTTTTTCAGAATTATCATCAGGGTAGAAATTTTATAGAATTGAATCAAGAGTTTAATGACTAAAAGGAAACAATACATCAGCTAGAATGCAATGCGGCTTAACAAGCATTGAGAGAGGTGTAGGGTAACTGAATAGATGATCAGGCGTTGAATAATTGAGGTTCTACTGTTTTTTGCATATAAATTATATTTGTCAATAATTCATAATGAGCTTTAAACTTTTGTTTAAATAATAAATAAATAGAACAACATGACATGCAAAACACAAATACTAAAAACCAGTTTGCTCAAAAATTAATTAATGAATTCTTAAACAGATGAATTTCTTTTGATCATTTAACAAGGAAATAACAATTAAAATTATATGTGTTTTTTTAAATTGATCATAACTAGGGTTGCAAGTTTGTGGTAGAATTTCACATAAAATTCAGAAATTTTTGGTGAACACAAATATAAGCATGTAAAAGAGCTGAAAAATTGTTTAATTTAATTTTATGTAATGTTAAATTTATTCATAAAAGCAGAATTTCAAAGAAATATTGTAAATTATTAAATTATTCTTGATATGTTTTTTCGTTCATCAAGTATTTGTTTGCTAACCTTTCTATATATTTTTTAATGCAAAGTTTCTATAAATTTCACAGTCCTGACCAAATAGCCTGTGTTACCCCCTCACTCAGTTAATTGCCATTTCAATTAATTTCTGGTAAAATAAGACCTAACTTAATCTTTTCTTCCTTTTGTATATTTATTGCACTATTTAGGAGGCATGTTGCCCTTATTAATTTATAACTGAAAAGATAGTAAGAAGACCACCTTACTTAATAAGATTTGGACTATCTCTAAACTAATTTCATGTTAAATTGCTATTGATCTATTTTCCTAAACATTTTGTCAATAAAAATATATCAATTTTAAATCTGCAGAGAAGTAGTAATCATTGTTAGAATTAGTGTTGAATTATAATACCAAGGGAAAAAAACTTTTCTGTTTAAAAAAATTTTTACGCAAATCACAGCTCTTCAAAAAATTTCTGGATTTAAGAACAATAAATCATGCAAATGAGCATGAAAATTCACTCCGTGACAAACTTGCAACCCTAATTATTACACATACAACTTCAATGACTTTTTCATGACTAGTATTTGACTAGTCTACAATAATAAATCTGAATAAGATTAAAAATAAATACTAAGGGGAAACATAACACAGTCAAAAAACGGTTAACAAAAATATGTAAATACAACGATACATAAACAAGTTGAATTCGGAAATTAAACAAAATCAAAATAGTTACTAAAATCGCATTTTAATCTACTAAAATACAATTTTTCTTAAAAAATAAAATGAGATTCTATAAAAAGACATGACTAGAGTAAAACACATAGAAAGATATTCCAAAATACATTGCAATTTGTCTGTCTGTACTGCTTATAAAAGATTAAAACATGAATTTGAATAAAATACAGAGATGTTATTCACCAATTAATAATTGTATAATATACATAACAATTTAATAACTGCATAGAGCATCCCCCCATCAACAAAGAGGAGATTTTGCGAAGTAACAACGCAGTGAAAACTTTTATATTCAACCAAATTTTAATTTAAGTTATAACTTCTCAAACACTAAAATAAATACCTTTTATTTAAGTTATCATAAAACATCTATCAATGGAGTGATAATTATATGCACAGCTAGCATAAAATTTGATAAACTTCAACAAATAGAAATTAGTTTGCAATAAAATTGTTTCATTGATGATAAAATTTCATCAAATACTATCTACTTTTCATGATACACCTATCTTACACATGTAACACACAAACCAAGAGATTTTTTTGTACCACAAATGTAAATGAGAGTACATGGGTTCAAATTTTAAACAATTCAACACATAAAAAAATAAGTAGTTAAAACACTTATTCTTTTCTTTAAGCAAGATTATGTATTAAAAAACATTTACTATGTGAAAGCAACATTTAACTAAATATTTAGCAATGGAAGCTTATGAAAATAACAGAAATAGTGTAATAAATAATAATAATAATAAAGGGAAAAAAAGAGAGGCAATTTTTTTTATGTCAAGAAAATAAAGCGTTTAAAAAATAATCAGCAAAATAAACTTTTTTTACAGTCTTCAAAATCTTTCAGTAACTTAAAAATAGGAACTAAATACAGGTTTTACTGTGTATTATGCATATTCTTAGCTTAATATATATATATATATATATATATATATATATAAAAGCTAAGAATATAAATAATACACAGTAAAATCTGTTGAGTCAACCACTTTTGCATGTTGGTCATCTGTCACCATCAATTTTTGGACAGTCAAAAAAACAATTAAATTGTCATTTCGTAAATAGGTCATTTGCCTAAGTGGACCATCAAATTGTTGTACCAAAGTGGCCAACTTGCATAGGTTTCCGTGTAGTTTAAAAAAAAAAAATCCTGTCAAACAGGAATTGCCAATTATTTTGGAATATCTTCTGAACACTCTTAATGCTATTATTAGTTTGGATGTGAAATATAGATTTTCTTTAGATGGGAAATAAAATTGTTTGGAACTTTCCTTGCTTGAGACAAAATTACAATGTGAAAACACTCCAGTCAAAAATTGGATGATACTATCCAATAAATGCTGCACTGATAATCCACAAGAAAGGAAATCATCTCCAAAATGGGGAAAACGGCGAGGGATGACATAGATCTACTTCTCCACTGCTCAATTCTGTACCCTTTAAAAAGAAAACTTTATATAAATAATGTTTAAATAATAAATTTGCGTGTCAAAGAATAAGTAATACATGTTGGAATTTAACAAATATATTTATATGTTAGGAATGTCTTAAAGATAGTTCCCTTAAAAGGGGTATACTTTGTATTATCTATAATATTAAAATGAAGTGCTTGCCTGTCTACGTGTTCGTCTCTCTCATAACTCAAGAATTATTGAATGCAGCATCCTGAAATTAGGAAAGTGGCAAATATAGCCCCTGATCCTAAAACTAGCTCCAAATTTTCAAATACTCTGTTCAGTAGACTACAACAATACTAGGAAGCTTTAACATAGATACCATAACTGCCAACATGGATAGGAAAAAATCCAGTAGATTTTACAAAATGATATAAATTTCATAATTGTACCATAATGTACTAAATACTTTACGCATAAGGAACTTTAGAGATTTTCATAGTCATCAAAATAGAAAAACTGCAATATTTTCCAGTTATGATTGCCATTAAATATGCTTGAAATGTTATGTATTATGTTTACTCATAATTTTGAACAGTAAGAGGCATTTAATTCGCCAAAGGTAGTTAAAATATTTTGTAATTAATTAAAAAAGGGAGTTCTGAATAAAAATAAACCAAATATTTTAGGACAATATTATTTTAAACTGAGTTTTATAAATGAGGCTAGCTTTATATGTATAATACTTATTTTAATATTCAAGCAAGCAATAATATGAACAAAAATTCTATTTCAATAAGGATTTTTTACAAAACTTACTCAATTTTATGGAATTTTCTAAAATGAAAAAAAAAACAGGAGAATTTTTATTAATTAGATTAAACTGGTAGAAAAGGAAAAAATGGAAAAATCTAATAGAGTTGGTAGCTATGCGATACTATATAAAAAAAAAAGTTTTTTACAGTCTCTGTAAAGGGGTCAGTCTGAGAGAAAATTGTGTGATTGTGGAAAATTTTGACTATAATGAGTTGACCTTGAGCAACAGCCTCGTGTTAAATGATTCAGAATACAGTTAATCTTTATTTTGAAGAGAAGAGCCATTAAAAACATGCTCTGCTTAATCTACTAAAACAAAGGACAAAATCTAAGAATAAATTTAAGAAATGGAATATTTTTTAAGTTTCATTAATTTGCACTATAATGCAACACTAGTTAAGTTATATTTTATGTGTGAGAATAATATTAAGAAAAAGGAATCTAGTGTTTAAATGCATGTTAAAATTTAACAAAGGAAACTGCACAATCATTTTAACAAAGAAAGAAAAAAGATTAAAAGCTTTAAACATATTTATCTATCCTCGAAATAATTTGCAAACATTCTAAAGCATTTTTTAATGATTTTATGAAATATATTTGAAACAAAATGCAGTTTACTTACACACGGCAAATTAATAGTCTAAATCATGTAATGATTAGTAACTTTCACATATTCTAAATCACATAATTCATACTAATAAATCACATAATTCATATTTCATAATAAAGCGATTAGATGTGACTGCAATCCCGATATTTTTTTTATACGTTTATTGTTAACAATAATCTGACGTCTTAAAATGTAATAACAAAAATTATTTTAGGTTATTTTTAAAAATAGAAAGGTATTTTTGCATAAATAGTGAACATTTCAAGCACATAACATAGCGCATCTATAACATCTTCATGTTTGACAATAACTTAGTATTTTAACTATTACATAATCTTTTATATGGGTCATTCTCACGAAAACCGTCATTTTTCAGTTCATAAAATCCCAAAAAAGTAAAGTGAATAAAAAGGTCTGAAACTTTTTATATTAATAAAAATATGTAATGGCATTATAAAGAAAGTATATATCCTATAAATTATACTTAATATTTAAATTAATTAATTTTTTAAATAATTAATTTATAATTAATTAATTTATAATAATTAATAATTAATTAATTAATTTAATAAATAAATTAATTAATTTAATAAATTAATTTATTAATTTTTTAATTTATTTTTCAAATTAATTAATAAGTAAATTAATTATTTTCACTATTTAAAAAGTGAGGGAATGACACTAATAGTGAGGGAATGATATTTTATTTTAATACATGTTTTTATCTAAGTTACATCTACCTAAAGTTTGAAAATGATAACATACTAAGTATATCTAATATTTATTATAATTTAGTCTTATATATTTAATAGTTTTTACAGGTTTGGGAAATAAAATTGGCTGGCACGATTGAACAAAAAAAAATTTGATAATATACTCATCTTGAATCATTCCCTCACTTCAGCGTCATTCCCTCACTTTATACACTAGTGAGGGAATGACGAATTCAATAAAATTTAAAAATAACAGTTAGGCCTAATTAATTTCTGAAGTCAATCACATACAATTATATTCATACAAGAAAGCAACATATAATTATCCACTTTCTCGATGAAGTTGTATTTTATTTTACTCTAAAAAATGACATGAGGGAATGACAAATGTAAAAAATTTTACCTGGTTTGATTCATTCAAATTTATTCCACAGCAAAGCTTCTTTAAGTTGAAGATGGAAACATACTGCAATTTTGTTCTATGATGCCAGTTGTTAACTTCTGAAGTTTTTATTAAAATATTTTTATTCTAAGAAGATTGCAGGTGATAAGAACATTGTTGTGAGGGAATGACGCGAAACACTGGGGACAAAGTTTAAAATAGTGCTGTGTTAATATTTTTATCAGAAATTAAATTTAAAATTGATTTTCTGAATTCTATATTTCAGTATTCTGAAATAAAAAACACGAATTTGTAAAAAAAAAAATTTTATTTCAGAAACAATTTTTTTCTTTTTTTAAATCAGCAGTGGGGACAAGTGAGGGAATGACATATTGGTATATTTTAATTACCTAAAATAAATAAAAAATAAAAATTGATAATTTTATTTTTATTCTTTAGTTAGCTTGCATTCTGAAGGACACTTCCCCTGAATTTTTTTTCTCCGTAAGCTGTAAAACAAACATAAAATATACTGGGGACATGAAAATGACTGTTTTTGTGAGAATGACCCATATACATTAAGATTTTCTAAATTAAGTAAAAATAAGGATGTTTATACTTTGAAAAGTGTATTGCAGCAAAATATATGGCATATTTCAACAGTTGAAATTCAACTCTTCTTTCAATTGAAGAACTTAGTGTATAAGTTCTAGAAAGTGCAGCTTAGAACTTAGTTCTAAGCTACACTTTCAATGAAATTGAGATTTTTCAGGAAAAGAACTTACTTAAGTCTTACCTAACTATATAACATTAATTTAATTTATTATTCTAATTTGTCATCTTTAAATTTTGAAAATCTTAGAGGAAAAGACACTAATTGACAATCTTTGAGTTTTTACAGAATTGAAGAAAAACCAAGCGTATTTGGCAACTAACAGTGAATCAGTAACCATTAAAAGTTTATCTTATGTTAGCAAATTAATATACCAAGAGAAAAAAATTTTGTCAATTGAAAGCTGCAGGACAGGAAATATAGGTAAGGCATAAACTTTACTTCCTAATGTCAACGTAAAGACTTAACATTACTTTCTACTCTAACTCAGTAAAATGTCACTTAGAATTTTCTTTTGTAATATAGTGTATACCGTCCAACTCCCATTTTTCAAAAAGTCAAGTGTACAACTAGATTTTGTTTTTTATTTACTGGATTTACAACTTTTAATATATATTTTTAAGTTTTAATTATTAATCCCATTACTAGCTACAAAGAAGTCTATTTATCCACAACTATGCTTGTTAGAGATAATTAAATCGAACTTATAATCATTTCTCAAATTTTTTTAAAATACTTGCGAGGCAAAAGAGACAATTCCCACACATGCATGTGCATTTAGACGTAGTTTAAAGAAGATACAAAATTTTAATGTACAATTTTAAAATACAGAAGATTGTAATCTTAGTGCAGAAAGCAGGAAACTTCCACACAAAGCAGAAGAGTTGGCAGCTCTTTAATAGTTTTTTTTCTTCTTAAATTCAATAACAACGTTACATTTTCAGTCATCAGAAAAATAAAATAAAAGAATGTTTCTTACTCTTTTGAGTGTTTACAGTGAAGCTGGTCATCTCCTTATAAAAGGTATCAAGAGCATTCCAAAAAGAAGAAGATTGTTGATGTACATGCCACAGCAATTCTGTGTTGCAGAGCCTTCGATATTTTGAACCACTGCCTGCTTCTCTCCTATAAATATTTGACCAGGCATACATCATTTTGCATTTAACACTGACAAATATTAACATGATACCTACAGGGAATCTGCTACATTTAAGATTTTCCAATTAATGACTGTCCATGACTAATTCCAAGAATTTGTCATGACTTAACAAAGTTACTATTTTCTCCGATAAAAACAACAATAAATATAAAAAAGCATTAGTATAATAACATTAATTGAAATGATAGGTATAACCAAAACTGTTATACTCTGCGTTTTCATATTTATAGATTTTAAATTTAAAAAACAGAGTAAAGAAATAGTAGAAGCAATAAAGTAGCTGAAAAAATAAAAAAATAAATTTTTTTCTTCTTCTTTTCTGCAGAATTATATTTTAGATACTTTTTTTTGTTCATCGGAAAGAAAAGAAAGACTTCTGATTTTCCGGTTCTCATTTCGAAATAAAATTCACCAATGATTGGCTTGTTTCAGCTAAAATTTGAAATTGATAAAATAAAAATAATAACAAAAATTCTGAAATCACGGAAGCAAAAAAAAAGAATTTTGTTAACTGATAATATGCTCCAGAAATGATGTTTTTTCTTTCATTTTTTGAAAGAACACCATAATTTTGAAAGAACAAGATAAAAACATATTGTATATTAAGCTTATATATATTGTATATTAACAAAATATGACTGTGAGCGGGGATTGTGTTACAAATTCAGAACATCATGAGTGGAGTAAATTCCATTTCAAAAATTAGATTTTCTGGCGACTTAAATCCATGACTTTCCATGATTTGTTTTAAAAAATAGTTAAAAATTATGACATTTCATGACAAATTTTGTTCAATACCAAAATTCATGACTTTCCAGGTGAGCAGATACTCTGCACATTACAAAAATTTAGAATAGAATAGCAACTGAATTGCTGTATCATTGAGCACTGGTACATGGGTGTTTTATACTCTGCATCCTCACCAATTTATTGTGTGCAATTAGCAGTTGCTGTAAAGCTATCACTTATCAAAAACTTGTGGAATCTGCATTGGATTTTAAGGCAAGATTCATCTATGCTGCTTCAAAAAAAAAAATCAAAATACACGTTTAAGTGAATTAACAAGGGTTATGGAAACAGGAAATTGATGGAAATTTTGAAGCCAGAGTTGGAAAAACTTTCTCTACCCCAGATAGGTAAAAGTTAGACTCTAGTAAGCAAAAATTAAAAAGTTTTCTTTAATGTTTTATCTGAGTGATGAAAGGTATTTAAACTAATATTTATAATATGATTTATAATATTTATAATGAGAAAAAAATATTATTGGAATAAATATTATGACAAAGATTAAAACAGTTTACCACCAACTTAATTTATCTCATTTAAATGATTAAGCCTATGTTTAATTAAACAATTGAAAAAGAACACAAGAGAATTACTGAAACTTGAAAATTCAAATTTATAAATGTCTTGTCAGAAAAAGTGGTCTGTATAGTAAAATAAAAACATCGTTGAATAAATGTGTTTATACCAAATGGGTACATTTTAAAATTTAAATTTATATTTGAATTTAATATGAATTTATCAAATTTATAAATGAAATTGTATAATTGAAAATTCAAATTTAAAAATGCCGTATTAAACCCAGCATTTTAAAATATATCTAAAAGGGATGCTGGGTTAATTAAAATGCTGGGTTTAATTTTTGATAATCCAAGAATGTCAGGCCCAGCTTTTGTATACAGTTTTGGTAGCAGCCTATATAAAAAACTGGTACATAACTATTTTAATTTTATTAATTCATTTTACTATTATTTTTTATAAATTTTGCAGTGTGGCCATCAATAAAATCATTGGATTATAAAATCAATCACGATTTAAAATTAAACCTGCAAGAACAGAAACATTTTAATACCAAAACATGATAAAATCATCCTTTCATAAAATTAACTTTTTCTACTGTATACATTTAAAATTATGAAAAACCTTGTTCTTTTTTTTTCTTTGTAAATTAAAATTTTCTACTTTCTTAAGTTTTGAAAACATGTGGATAACAAATTTATTTCAACACCCTATGAACAAAGTTACAGTTGTATATTATACTGCTTAGTTAATAAGATAGGAAACATGGAGTGCAAAAAATGAAAACTGTTTATAAATTAAGAAAAGTTGCAGAATATCATTCAGTGCCAACGATCTACCTATAATAGATGTTAGAAATTTGCTTGATATTTTAAAATGAACTTTGCGGCAAAAATTTTTTTAAATATTTAAAGTTAAAAAAATTTAAATCAAAATTTTGCTACTCAGATAAGCTATTTCATTTTAAAACCCTTCCGTAAGTTAACAAATTTTTTTCCTGTTTATTTAAAAAGTAAAACAAAATGTGATAATTAATTTAACCGTTAATCAGTTTGTAAAGTTAACTTTAGAATTTATTTTTCCGTAATGAAGATATTCCGGTTTTTAAAATCAGCCAAATTAGAGAATCAAATGCTCTCAGAACAAATATGAGATTAATAGCTTGGATGAAAAAGGTAAAAAACCAAAGTAGCCGAAAATAGATATCTAAAGTATATTCAAAACAGTTTTTAAATAATTGAAAAAATACCTAAATTTGAGCACAAAAAAAAGTGCAAGGAGAAAACATATTTCCACAGAATATTAATAGCCTTTAAAGAAATATATCAATGCATGACTTTTTATTATATTGTGTAAATATAAATCTTGATTTTAAATTGGATAAATGTGAATCCTTATGCGAGATCTTTAAATCATCTAAATATGAATTGAGATGTGTAATTTAAACTCTCATGAACATAGATCATGGTTTACAATTTAAAATCTTGCGAATACGAATTACGGTGTGTGATCGCCTGAAAGTAATTTTAAATCGTTTTTGCATATACACTAAAAAGTGCAAAAAACATCTCTTTTCAAGAATTCAGAAAAGAGAAATTTTTTTTAAAAGACTGGATTATTCTCTAATTAAATTGAAAAAAATATATATATATAGTGGAATTGTGCCAAAACACAGAAAAACCTCATTTCCGAATAGACGACGGGGCATCGGAATTTTCTCTTGACATTTGCTGTGGATTCCGTGCTTAGGCATGAATTACAGTTTGCGTATTAACCCCTTCCTTCTTACTCCAGTTAAAATGACGGGATGAGGTTTCGCCCTCTGTTTCTTGCTCCCGTGACATTTCCGGGATGGAGTGTTCAGTAGTAACGTGCCAATAAGAATAAAACTAATTCATTTCTTCTGCCCAGAAAACATTTTATTCCTCATTTTACACACCAGATGGCAGTACCAGGATATTTTTAAGGTAATTGTAGATAGTCAGTTTATTTTAAACTAGATGTCAGCACTAATCAAATACGTGTATTTGGCAAAATAGGCACTTTTATGACCGTTTTCATGAAAACCAACCTATTGTTATGGGGTTAAGGGAAGGCTTACTCACCTTTGACCACATATACAATGGAACTGACTGCACCTGCATTTGAAGGAGAGCAAGTGTAGTTTCCTGAATCTGAGGGTTGAGCGTCCCTGATCCTTAGCCTACTGACTGCAGTATTTCCACCACCCTTCTGAACTGTGACTGTACCACGAGAAGAATCATAATTAATCATGTTACTTTCATGGTACCAGAATACATAAGCTGGGGCTTCTGGGCTGTCCACAATGACACATGTTAGGTTAATGGAACTTCCTACTTCCACATACATGTCTGGACCTTCCATTATTTTAGCTTCAGGTACTGTGAAACATTAAAAAATAATTAGTAAAAATAAAAAAAAAATCAATGATCAATTCTGTAATAATAAGGGAATGATTATATATATAGGATAAACTAACCAGTGAAGGAATACTTAAGCTTAGCTTGCCTTTGAAAAAAATAATAAAAATTTCAAAATTTGTAATTTTAGCTAAATGATGGTGTCGACATATTCGTTATTAAATGCAAATTACGTAAAAAAAAATTTAGATAACTTACATAATATTGTTTTAAGCTTTTGGTGATTTCAATAATAAGTAATAAGATAACCAGGTGAAGGAACAGTTCTTACCAGTGAATAAACACTAAATTTTCCAGTGAATGAACACTTAATTTCGAGAATGTTTGATGCTTGTTAGGAATCCATAGGCCACACAAATGTTTAACCCACTGGCGGTTAAGGAAATGGGCAAAATTGGGAGAATGTTTCTCCCCTACACACAGTTCCCCTATCAGTTAACATGGGAAAACCGGTTTTGCTATGCAGAGAAGAGTGCAGGTTAAAATGCGACTTTTTACGTGCAGAACCGTCAGTGGGTTAAAAACAAGATTTTTCTTGGAATTATAACCTATAACCACAGTTAACGTGGAAAATGTTACTTTTTTTCATTCATGGAATGGAAAGTAAAATATGTTTGAATACATAATTTAAAAAAAATATTTTTCATTTTTTTCTCTCACAGTTTAATAGTCTGTTCTAAATTATGAATGTTTATCATCGTGTAATCCGATGATGTTTTTATTATTATAATTAGATGACTTTTTTGTTTTCTCTTTTCCCCATATTTTTTTAAGCTTTTTTTTTATTTTTTAAAATCTTTTTAAGAATTTTTTTCTCTTCGTCATACTTTTTGCTTTAACTTTCTTTTCAGCTCTTTCAATCTCTTTAAATATTCGTTCTTTTTCTGAAGTTAATGCAAAAAAGTAATTTATTTATTTTTCTTTTGATTTAACCTTCCTCTTTTTTCCAAATTTTTGGTCAATGTAAATGTATCTTCGAAATTTCCTTTGATTTTCCGGTACCATTTCTAAAATTCCTCACTGGATAATAAATGAGAAAAAGGAGTTTCGAAGTTTGAGTAAAATCCATCTCTCATTGACTTATATCTAGTGGGTCTTCAGCAGTACTTACCATTTACTTATGGAACCAACTGTTTTTGCAACTAACAATGCCTCAAGAGGACTTATCTCAAAATCAGTTTTCAAGATACTTTCATTATCAATGTTAGTTGTATCAGCTTCAGTGCCAAACTTTGATTAACCAAATGTTCTTTTTGAAATAAATTCTTCCATATTGAGAAAAGCACAGGCTATTGGATATTTGGGAGATTAAACTTTTCTGTCAATGTTCATTTAAAAATTTGCAACATAACTTGCGAGATTTCATTCTCCAGCTTCTGAAGAAATAGTGCATCGTTACTCTCGAAGAATGTGTTTTGTTGATAAGCTGTCATTCATTAAATCATGGTGTCTGATTTGATGCATTTGTTAAAGTTAACGTTTTCTACATCGAATGGAAAAATATCGCATTTCATAAAAGCATTTTAACTTCATCAGTTGATGCCTCAAAATCTTATTTAAAAATGGATGTAAAAATTTCTCGACATATTGTTTTACAATTTTTGACATACGACTTTTGTTTTCAAGATCTAACGGGAGATTTCCATGAATTATGTAGAAAACTAAACCAGAAAATTTGTTTTGATGAACAAAACTTGCTCAGTTTCTAATTGATATGAGATTTATACCTATCCAGAAGAAGCAAAATAGGGAATTTGATAGCATTTTTAATTAGCCATGGGTAGAAACATTTGCAATATATTTATAAAATGTTGCAGCGGTCATTGTTTCATTTCATGAATCGCTTTTTCCAATGAAATATATAGCAGGGACTGATTCTGCAATATCTCAAAGAATTCTTCAGTAAGGAAAAACTACCAATGGAGGTACTTTTTCTTTCCTAGGTACTTTAGAATATAAATTCTTATAATTTTTAGGACCAAAGATTTTTCCCGTTTAAGGGCAGTATTTAATTCTTGTTTCGTTCGCATTGTATATGCAATAACTTTCTAAAAGGATGTCAGGGCTACTTCGCTCCTAAAAATTCTTCTAAAGTTCTTAAAACCAGCATTTCGAATATTATTTTCTGAAGGAAGTTTTGCCTTTTGAAACTATCTTGGTATTGCAAAGAGTTACCGGTGGATGTCGCCTTAAAATTTTTTTTTCATCTGGATGATTGTCTTTAAATGGATTTTTCCTACCAGTTCCCGTTAGGACATTAAAAACGGCAATAAGATAATAATTTAGCTAATTATTAGCACGAAGGCCTGCAAAGAAATTTTCTATTCAAGCTCTCATTATTATACTTAGTTGTTATATTCAGTCAGTAAACATAGTTTATTAAGGTGTCTAAGGTGTGATGTAATAACTAATCACTACATTTATAAAGATAAATAAATTATTATTATAATTCTTTAAATAAATCTAGCAATTAATTTTGCATTTTGAAATGAAATTGTTATAGAAACTATTCATACAACATTTAACTGGATTTTAGGTGTCCTCTATATCGCAGAACTACTAAATCTAAATATCCATAAAAATCATATTTCACACATACTATTCATTCACTGGAAAATCTATTCTCAGTGAAGAAACAAGCCTGTTCTTTCACTGGTTAGAAGTTGTTTTTTGTATTTTTAACATAATTTTGATGTATAATATGACTAAAGGTACAACAAAATTAAAATTTTTATTTTATTTTCAATAACTTGAAAAAATCCCTCCCTGTAAAGGAGCACTTGTTTATTCATTGGCTTTTCATTGTTCGGTAATCCAGTTAATAAACACCCCCTAATCTCAGTACTTGCTTATGTTATGATGCTTAATATAAATAAAACGTAACTTCAATAACCATATTTTGAATTCTCTTTTTCACAATGAGAAAAAAAGGCATTATTATATACAATTAATTATACTTTAAACGGATAATTACAAACACTGACCTTATAATTTTGTCAAAGAAACAAGGCATTGAACAAGATACTAACAAATTTAAAACTTTTTCCAGAGAAGACTCTAAGACCAGGTAACTCAATGCATTGTAGGATGACTTCCTATTGTTAGGTAGTAAACTACTATTACCTATCAATCTAAATTAAAACGTTTAAAATCTCATTTTTAAAAAATATCTATGAAATGTTCCTTCACTGGGGTGTGCTCCTTCACTGGTTTGTTTACCCTACAGTTCCTGTGTGTGACCATTTTTTCGGGCTTTCTGCGACATACATTTTTAATACTAATATCTTTCTGCAAGATACTTTTAATAATAACAAACATACATGTTACTAATTTAAAATAACAAAAACGCTGTGTTTAAAAAAAAAACTATATGAGTTTTTTTAAATTGAACATGTAATAATTTCCAATTCTAATGTTATGGGTGATATTCTCAAATGTTTTTCTTTTTTAGGGGGGGGGCACAAATTATTTCCTTCTTTGCCTTTTGTAAATAATCATAACAATAAAAAAAAATTAAAAATCATGAAATCGGTAGTAGTAATTGCTGATAAAAAGATCGACAACGAAATCACGCAAAACAGACGCCTCAAATGCGTGTTTCGTTTCGAGATAAGGTTGCTGTAATAAATAATATTGCATAAAAAATATCGGATTTAAAAACTAAGGAGAAATCAATCGTAATAACTGCCAAAAATTCTATAGAATTATTGCCTTAAAAAGCAAAAACTCAAATGCACAATTCTAATTTTCCATGATGTTTGAAATATTTCGGGATATTTAAAAACCACGTGAAAATCAATATTAATAACTGCCAAAAACACAATCGAAACATACATTGATCTACGATACTATCGGCGTGAATTGAGCGTGATAATTAAAAGTGATAATTTTACATAAATTTTAAGAAGATTATGTAGTAAATTTCTGTAGAAAAGAAAAGTAAATTTGTTTATTTTTCAAAAGAAAAATCTTTCTGCATGAACTCTGTAACATTCTGCGACAATGTCGCCGTGTCACTGCTTTTCTGCCAAGAGGTACAATAGAGTCCCGATTCTGTGAGTAAATGTGAACCATGACTAACTAGGATAACCGAAAAACTTGGCTAAAGCGAAGAGTCTAAAAAAGGAAAGAAAAAGAGTAGGGATAAATGTAATATATTTGACAAATACAATATTCATATGATTACGCCACTTACAGTTCATATTATAATTAAAAAGCTTACTTAAAAACACTTAAAGAGCATACTTTACGAAAATTAAAGAGTTTTTACTCAAAAAAGTCCATTTTTGTTTTACATTACTTTTTTGCAGCAATGTTTCATCGTTTTTTTAGAGATAACAGGAAGGCTGGTGTTGACTCTTTTTGTCATTCTACATATTCAATAGCTCTTTCGATAGCTTTTAAAAATAAATCTATATCAGGCCATCTGTATGAGAGATTTTTATATATTGATTTTCATTGTAACTGTCTTCATCATCTTCGCTACATTCATTTTCATTATTGACAATATTAACGATAATTTCATTGGATCAAGTTGTTGAATTTCGTTTTCCTGAGTGTCCTGAAGATAAAATTCAGATTTTTTCGGTAGGAGTTTTAAAAAAATAAATAAAATAGAAAAAAAAAAAAAAAAAATGCAAGCGGAAACTCGGATAATTGGTACTCTATTGTATACATATAGCACGAAACGAAAAAATATAAAGAATATTAATAAGCTTAATATACATATATATATATATATAGATATATATATGTGTGTGTGTATATATATATATGTAAGGTTTTATGAATGAAGGATAAATGTTTTTCATGTTAATTTGTGTATATATACAAGGAAAACAAGAAAAAAAATATTTTTAAGGAAAAGAAGAAAATTATTATTAAATAAAAGTTTTTTTAAAAACATTAAAAAATTAAAAAGTTGGGAAACAAAAAATTTAAAGGATATAATCTAACCATTAG